CCCAGAACTCTGGCATCTCTAACATCTTGGGGTCTCCAAGGCAACCAAGTTTCAACTTCACAGCTTCACACAATGGCCTCTCTCCTAGGCCTCCATTCAGCGACACTCCTGACCCATGCCTGGCCTCTGTGGCTTTTCTTAGTCTTGGGAAAAATCCCATAGCCCCTTCCTTCTACTCTTAATTCCAGAACCACATGACCGAAGCTGCCAAATTCTGCTGCTGGAACATGGCTCCCTTTTTCAATCACGTCTTCACCAGCTTTCTGACTTTCACTGCCTAAGCTTGGCTGTCCTGAAACTTGCTCTGTAGACCAGGCTGGCCTCAAACTCAGATCCACCAGCCTCTGCCTTCCGAGTGTTGGTATTACAGGTGTGCACTGCCACACCTGGCTCTAAGCTTTTCTTTAGTTCCTTTCCACAGGTTGGAAATTTAGCTAGGTGAGATCTTGCCCTGGGGTCACCACTCCCTTTATTCCATTTCATAATCGGTTTATCTCCCTGAACACAGTATTTAACTCCATTCTACTTCCTGGTACCCCATTTCTCAATCTGTACATTTTGTATTTTTATTCCCTCAGCTTGCTCCTTTTTATTGTAAGTCTTTATTAGAGTTACCACTAATAACCACACAACAGAGTTTATACTAAGTTGTTTTGAGATTTCCTCTGCCAATGGAATTAATACAAAAATCTTCACTGCTTTATCTTCAGGCAGACTCTTCAGACAAGGGCAAAAAGGCAACGACATTCTGCACCAAAATATCACAAGTTATCTGTCTCAGATGTTGTGCTAGTGATGGAAAATTTACTAACACAATGCCTAACCTACAACGGTCTCTCATGGGAGATGTCACTGGGCAGGGCTGGGAGTCCATTTTCTTTGGCTCCTTCTATATTTAGGGTTTGTTTTTGTTTTTAAGCAGAAGCACATTATTTTTTATAACTACCGTAAATTTTTAAATAATCCTGGGTCTTAGGCAGTGCTCAGTTGGGAAAGTGTGTGCCTTGCCAGCATGCACACCTGAGTTTGATGATAGGTGCATGGTAGGCGTGTAATCCACCGCTCGGGAGGCAGAGGTGAGATCTCTGGAGAATCACTGGCCAGGAGTTAGCCGAATTGATGAGCTTCAGGCCAAAGAGAGACAATTTCTCAAAGGTGATGGATGGCTTCCCTGGTGATAACAGCTGTGACTGTCCAGTCTGTCTGCACATATGTGCACCTCCCACAAACGCACGTACACATTAAAGACAACATGATGCTGCCTTTTATTTCAAGAGACAGACTTGAGCATCACCAAATGCTTTAGAGGAAATGTTTCTCAGACAAAGTGCAGTGGTATATTGGTTTTGCTCATAAAAGGAGTTAAGAGTAACTATGGGTTTCCTCTGTCTGTTTAATCTTTCTGTTTTTGGATGTCTCAGAAACAGTAAGAAGCCAAGCTAAGGACCCCCATTCAAATCCAAAGTCTCTGGTACCCTCAGAATGTGGCTTGGAGCTGGCTCCAAAACCCGGAACTTAAAACTCAGAACTATGACATTTCCAACTGTAGTTCCAAATGACACGTGGCCATGCTCTGGTATCCTTGCCTTTCTATCTTTACTAGAATCCATTGGGACCAGCATGCAGGACTACCTGCAGGCTGGGAATTAGGGCCTGCTCCCTTTGGTGTTGCTGGGTCTCCTGTCTGACTCATGAGAACATGCCCAGCTAGACTCCGTGAGGCCTGGGCTGAGTTCACATCAGAAACAACTGACAGTGTTTATGGTGTTGGCACCGGTTGTAAGCTTCTCTTTCAGGTAAGCCATGCTGGCGTGGAGAAGTCGGCACACTTTCTCAAGAGAAAACAGAGGAAACTACAGGAAAAGGAATGCTCTTTCATTCCTGCTCCTGTGCTGAGCAGCACTTGTGGTTGGCTTGTCCCCTACTTCTGTTGCTGGATGAGGTGGCGGGGGTGGGGGGTAAAGTTGGAGGTGTCTGTGGAGCCGCTATGGAGCCTCAATGAAGGGAGGCTGTGAAGCTGTGCCCAAGCTGGTGGCCAGTGCTCCTGCCCTGAGACCTCACCCTGTAGCTGCTTAAAGGTATTTCCCCATGTGTCATCTCTGAGTCACTATCTCCATGCTTGTGTGGGAGAAGCAGACAGGCATCTAGGCCCCACTTGCCTAGGGCAGAGTATACCTGGCCAAGATCCTCCTCAGACCAAGGCCAGGGCTCACGCTGTCCTTGCAATATGCAGCCCAGGTACTGGAAGCCCAAAACAATGCCTGTACCTGTTGACTGTTTGTAGTGGTCATTCAGAGGCTCTGGGACAGTGTCCACATGTTGAAGTGTCTGTCCACCTGGGTTTTCTTTTAGAGTCTGTTCCTTTACTCTTTTATTGTGTTACCTAGATTCAATCTCAGGGGAGGAATCTTTTATTTTTATTTTTTGAGATTGGATCTTTGGGGCTGGAGAGATAGCTCAGCCGTTAAAGGCTAGGCTCACAACCAAAAACTATAAGAAATAGGATCTTTGTAAGTAGTCAAGTTGGCCTATAAATCATGATCTTCTGCCTCAGCTGCTCAAATGCTACCTAGGATTATAGGTGAGTACTACCACATGTGGCCATGAGAGGAATTCTTGATTGGGTTTAGATCTAGGAAATGATTACTTCCATTTAAAAAAAGCACACAGAAGTACTTCCCTCATCTCATATATCTATATCTATATCTATATATATATGTATATATATATACATATATATATGTATATATATATATTGAGAGAGATAGATATAGATATAGATATATGAGATGAGGGAAGTACTTCTGTGTATGTTTATCTTATTGATTGTTTAATAAAGTTATAAAGTTCTGTTTGGCCAATGAAACAGCAAGTTAGATGGGACTAGGAGTCAAAGAGGATTCTAGGAAATGTAGTAGAGAAATGGTGATCCAGGCCGGAAGTGACATAGCAAGGAGACTCATATTTGAGCAAGGAGAAATAGGAAGTGTCCTCCTTTCCCCTTCACCTCCTCCAGCGGCAGGATGTGAGCCACCGGCAAGGAGGGACGCCAATAAGGTGTCTGATTAGTCTTATAAAATATATAGGTTTATGATAATTAAGACTGAGCTAACAGATGGGAATCCTAGTCATTGGCCAAGCAGCTTTGAACCTTATACAAGTCTCTCTGTGCATTAATTGGGGCCCTAACTCAGGCAGGTGGCTGGTATAGAGCACACACGTGGCGGTGGGGCTCGGTGGCTTATGGTGGAAAGATTTATCGTAACATATATATATATACACACACACACACACACATGAGCTAAGGTCTCACTATGCTGTCCTAGCTGGCCTGGAACTCACAGAGATCTATCTTCTAAATGCTGGGATTAAAGGCATGCATCACCATATCCAAGCCTGAAGTGATGGAGTTTTGGCCAATTTATATAATTTCTTCCTTCTGGGGAGATACAGTTGTTCAGCTCGGCCAGTCTCCTCTTTCTCAGGAATCTCAGAGACTATGGGAAGACCCGACCCTCGTTACCAGTCATTCCTGGGACTTGGAGACAGTCCTTGAAGTAGCCTTGTTCTGTTTTACTACTGAATGTTGAGTTTTGAGTTTCATTTTGAATTTGTACTTTGCAATGCATACCAGTTGCTGCTAGTCCCCTGGGAGGGAAGCCGGATATAACTCATGAAGAAGAAAAAAAGGATTGGACATCAGGTTACTTGTAGCTTCTAAGAAACCCACGGCAGGACCATAGACTTGGGTCTTTTTTGGCAGCATTAGAAGAGCAACAAGGAAGCCTTTGAATTAATGAGCTGATCTGTAACAAGAGACCCTCAACTCACACTACAGCAACTTTGAATATTTGCTCTGGGCTAGCACATTTTGGATTATATCTATACATATGCCCCGTCATGTTTGTGGTTTGAAACATCTCTTTGAACTACCCCCAGATCACATTTTCCCTTGAAGATGACAAAAAGTTTCTCCATATGGTCTATGTGGTATTTGAAGCAGTGCTGAGTGAAGCTGATGAGCTATGATTAAATGCTTTATGCTACTTTTGTGAAGTCTGCTCACTGTTTCACTACTTTCAGGGACCCTGGTTAAGATGCCTTTCCCATGGGGCACTTGGTTTGGGGGAGGGTTGAAAGAATCAGACCTGGCTCCTAATCCGATCTGCAGGTTGGTACGATGTTGTGAGTGCTGAAATGTGAAATACAGTTACAGCTTAACATGCTGGGACGAGGGGCAGACGCCCTCACTGCTGGAGAAACGAAGAGCTCTTGCTGTGCTCTCCGGGTTCGGTTCCCAGCACCCACCATCAGGTGGCTCACAACTTCCTGCAACTACATTTCCAGGAGATCTGATATCCTCTGAGCTCGGCTGGCACCTGCAAGCAAGTGGTGCACACAAACCCATGAACGCACACGCATGCACATAAAAATAAATAAATCTTGAAGAAGAGGCACACCTGTGCGCATGCGCGTGCGCACACACACACACACACACACACACACACACACACACAAGTAAATCTTTGAAAATAGAAATCCTTGCTATGAAGTCTTACATTGTGTAAGAGTTCCATCAGGGGCTGTTCAACACCAAGGAACGAACATTCTAGCCCTAGCTGATTGTCGGCCAAATGTTGCCTCCAAGGGCATTAGCCTGTTTTGTGCATAGGCTAATTTTCTAGTGCTTAGCACAGAATATATAGGATGGCTGGATCAATGAATCAGTGGGTAGGGGTGATAGCAGATTCCATCAAAGGCTAAGGGGCCAAAGAGACAGGGTTGGGTTGAGGAAGGCCATAGTGGGAAAGACTAGTGATATTTGGTAAAGGTAGTTAACCTGTAGGAGAATGGGCCAGACTTTTCAGACCTTGTGCCTAGTGCTCCAGGGGATACAAGGAAACCCAGGAACCCTTCAGGAACACAAGTGATGACAGGTGGCAACAGACTGGGGATCAGTAAAGGCCCCAAACAGTGACGTTCAGGGGCCGTGGACATACCTGAAAGCTGGTGGGTACATCCTCAGGGTCTCTGCAATCACCATGTCCAGATAGGGCAGGCCTTCCTGCAGGCTGCAGTACCCAGGGGCTGGCTGAGGCAGGGAGCAAAGGGAGGCTGTGTTAGAAGGACTCTCAAGCTCTTGGTCTTTTTCATGAGCTCTTGCTCCAACTTCAGCAAACATTTCTGTGACAGTCCCACAAGATGAAAAGTAGATTCCATCCAGATGGCCTCCCGGTAGCCGCCCCCCCCCCCACACACATGCTCTGCTTGCTCCATTTCATTAACAGAGATGAGGAAATGCAGCCTGGGACTTGGTGATCTTTGGGCGGAAAGTGGAGAGATCTGGTGTGACAGTTCGTTGTCTGCTTGACAGAAGGGAGAGTAACCTGGACAGAGTTCATTGAGGGGAGGAGACCCGCCCACTGTGGGTGACACCATTCCCTAGGCAGGAGATTCCGGCTGTGTAACTGGGGGAAGTGAGCTGAGCCCTGGAATGCACACACACCTTCACTGCTCTCTCCTGTGACCCTGCTGCTGTAAACTCCCAATACCTTGACTTCTCCACCATGACGGGCTGCAACCTGAAACTGTGAGCTAAAATAAACCATTTTCCCCTTAGGTTTTGTTAGTTAGTGAGTTAGTTAGTTAGTTAGTTAGTTAGTTTGTTTGTTTTATTTTGTTTTTCGAGACAGAGTTTCTCTGTGGCTTTGGAGCCTATCCTGGCCCTCGCTCTTGTAGACCAGGCTGGTCTCAAACTCTCAGAGATCTGCCTGCCTCTGCCTCCCCTGTGCTGGGATTAAAGGCATGCACCCACACTGCCAGGCTTTGTCAGTATTTTTTTTTTTATCACAGCAATAGGAAAAGCAACGAAGGTGGACTCTAAAATTTCAGTGACAGTCACATTTATTTGGAGCTGATGGCATGGCTAATGTGGAGAGCCCATGCACTTGTTGGCTCCTCCCAGCAAAAAAAAAAAAAAAAAAAAGAGGCAGCTGTTTCCTCTTTAAATGAGGAAGCCAAGGCTCAGAATGGCTGTCACCTACCTAGTAATTGGTACGGCAATAAAGCTAAAAGACACAGAGAGAAATGACAAAGAATAGAAGCTTGCAACAGTTAGCAAGGATGAACAGTTAACAACATCCCCCAAAGCTGTTACCTAACAGCAAGGAAAGAGATAGCTCAGAGGAAAAGCTGTCAAAGGGTATGAAAAGGCAAAACCCCAGAGGTGGAACAGAAGTCATGATGAAAAAAATGTGAAATAGTAATATTCTCGAACATCAGCAGAAGTTGGAAAAGACTGGTTAAATTTTCGGAATGCAGTTGTCAAGGTTCCTGTGTGAGTGTATGTGTGTGTGTGTGTGTGTGTGTGTGTGTGTGTGTATTGTGTGTGTGTGAGTGTGTGTATGTGTGTGAGAGTGTGTATGTGTGTGTGAGAGTGTATGTGTGTGTGAGAGTGTGTGTATGTGTGAGTGTGTGTATGTGTGTGTGAGAGTGTATGTGTGTGTGAGAGTGTGTGTATGTGTGAGTGTGTGTATGTGTGTGTGAGAGTGTATGTGTGTGTGAGAGTGTGTGTATGTGAGTGTGTGTATGTGTGTGTGAGAGTGTATGTGTGTGTGAGAGTGTGTGTATGTGAGTGTGTGTATGTGTGTGTGAGAGTGTGTATGTGTGTGAGAGTGTGTGAGTGTGTGTATGTGTGTGAGTGTGAGTGTGTATGTGTGTGAGTGTGTGTATGTGTGTGTGAGTGTGTATGTGTGAGTATGTGTGTGTGTGTGAGAGAGTGTATGTGTGTGTGTGAGAGTGTGTGTGAGTGTGTGTAGTATGTGGGTGTGGGTGTGTGTGAGTGTGTGTGTGTGTGTGTGTGTGTGTGTGTGTGTGTGTGCAGTCAGCAGGTTGTGGGTACCCCATGGGTGGGGGCAGCACTCCCAGCTGTGGCCCCCCTCCTCCGCAGAGCAGCAAGAGGCAGCTCTGAGACCAAGTATATCCTGCAGCTGTCACTCTCCACAGACCAGCCCCAGGTGGCTTCCCTCTACCCGGAGGAAAGAGGCTCACAGCCAGGAGTGGTCACAAGGTCACACTGCTAGGTGGGCACCACTTGTTCCCATGAGCATACTGGGGCCACCGTGGTGTTACCTGGGAAATTGCTATAACTGCAGAAAAGTTAGTGGTGGGAGAGGAGTCAGGGTCGGGGCACCTGGAGTCTCCAAGTCCATAATAAATACTTTAGCTGATCTATGATGGTTTAGCCACTAAATTAAACACAGCTGCTACTCATGGGCCATCGAGAGTCAGGTTGCAGTACGTGTATGAAGCCCAATCCCCTGTCTGTCCCCGTGTCTGGAAGGCAAGGGAGGTACTTTAGAATATGAAATGTCAACTGTTGCTTGGGTTCCCCAGCCCTTTCCCTCCTCTGCTTGGAGAACTGTTTTGGTCCGAGACTCTTACTTGGCTTCATACTTCACCTCCACCCTAGGCCCGTGTGTGTGTGTGTGTGTGTGTGTGTGTGTGTGTGTGTGTGTGTGTGTGTGTGTCCGCGCTCTGTGATTACCGTCTTGAGACTGCTAATAGCTTCACTGTCAGATTTTTGCTCTGGGGCAGAGTTGGATAGAACTGGGGCGCATGTTCTGGAGCTCGGATGGCCACTCCCTGCCCCCTGGGCTGCCTCCCCTGGATGAATTCTCAGTTGCTGTCTCTGTCTTGCTTCCTCTGTCCTGGCTGCACACAGACACACAGGGGGTGTGAATGGGGCTCACATATGAAGGAGCATCTTGGGATGACCATGGTGGCCATCCTAGCTTCAAGCTGGGAGAGCATGGGGTATGGTGAGACTGGCCAAAGGACACAGAGTTTCAAGACTCCTGGAGGTAGCAGTCTTCTGTGGGGGTTGTGGAAAGGGACACACCTGGACCAACTTCTCCGGCTTGATTCCCTTCCCCACCTCTCAGCCAGGTTTGGGACTTGGGTTCAGGATGCCTGTGAAGGTCTGGACTCCCTCAGGGCAGCCTCAGTCTGAGGAGCCTGGGGGTTCTGGGAATGATTTCTCTTCAGCTTTCCATCTTCAGGAGTTCGCTTTGTGTTTGTGTCCTCTGGCCACTGAGTTCACAAAGCATGAATTGTGCAATTCAGTGGTCCTGCTCATGACTCCAGTAACTGGCTTTGATGATATGAAGATGGTGGAAGAATTCAAGTCAATAATTGGAAATTTGGATTTCTTTTTCTTCACTAAGAATAACCCTGAGTAGAAATGAAACAGCCCCCTGACAAATCCAACAAGTGAACAGAGGAGAGGAAGAAGTGCTAGGCCTGCCTGGTTGGCACTTCCTCCTGCCTTCTGAGTAAAGAGTCCCATTGCATTTTGCTTTCGGCCTCACAGATTGTATAGCTGGCTCTGCAGGATGTGGTTAGCTGGTCCAGGGGATCAGTATAGAAATCTGGACTGGGGCAAAAGAAAAGGAGCCAGAGACTGAGTGAGGGGAAGTCATGAGCTGTTCGTGGCCACCTTCTACTTCGTGGATTAGTGAGCACAAAGCACCAGCTGGTGCCAGGAAAGAAACTAGATATTAAGAGAGAAGCAGGGGCAAAAGACAGAGACCTTTCCTGGTGCCTTATAGAGTTCCGGTTCCTATCTGCTGTTTGTTCCAGGCAAGTTCCCATCTGTGGACAAAGTCAGTGACATTTTGAATGCTGCTATCTGGAACCACAGGAATCCTAACAAATGTAAAAACATGAAAGGAAAGAAGAGAAGGGAGGTAGGGAGGAAGAGAGTGAGGGAAGGGACATGAGGACTACACCACCATGGTGTAGAACTGTGTAGTATAGAACTCTGTGTGCATGTGTGCATGCATGAGAGAGACAGACAGAGACAGAGACAGAGAGATCGATCTAGGAGCTGTGTCCCTGATGGGTAAATGGTGCTGGCTCCCAGCTAAACTTGTGTCAATTATAAACTGTCAGGATTTATCAAACAAGGAGAAGCCTACTAGGCAGGCTAAGCAACACCTTCACTGTACAGCTAGTGACACCTTCATTGTAAAGCTAGTGACACCTTCACTGTAAAACTATCCTCTTCATTTGTATTCCCTCTGCAGGGGCTCTCACTGCCCCTAAGCTTTAACTCAAGTGCACCTACGGGCATCACCTCCGCCCAGCATTCAGTTTATGTAGACGCTTGGGGCCACTATCTGGGGATTTGATGGTCTGTGATGGGGTATTCCAGAGCTTTCCTGGAACCTCATGTGCCCACCACACCGGAAGAAACACACCCTTCATTTAAGTTAAATCCAGGCCTGGCAACTGGACACATCCCTATTTATTCCCAGCGTCTCAGGGACACAAAGTTCCTGAGCTGGCCTGGCCAGCAGAGGGCAGCAAGTGTATGGCAAATGGGGGACTCCCCGGTTCCTTAAAGGACCTTAGAAATCATGGAATCCGACTGAGTCTTCATGATAGAGGAGAAAAAGATGAGAGTCGAGAGAAAGCCTGTCAGTCAGAGTCTTGCTGAGTGTTCTGAGCACTCCGTAGCCAACAGTTTCAACAGCGAACACCTCAGATGCTGCTGGGCTGGATGCCAGAGACCCAGAGAGACAAGGGCTCTGTCTTTGGGGAGCCACACACCTAACAAATCACAACCGGGACTCACTGGTGTAGAGTAGGCTTGGTTGGGAGGGACAGAGAGCCCATTCGGCTTAGGAAACCATCCCTTTCTTCATCCAGGTTGTAAGCCCCATGCCAGGCACAGGAGAGGCACGAACACACAGCTGCAGCCCATCTCAGTCAACTAGGGTCTAACCAAGTGGATGAGGCGGGATGGGAGAACAGACACACACACTCCTGACAGCTGCCAGGAGGGAGTCCTGTTCACACTGACCTTCAGAAAGAAAGGTGTTCGGATGGTGCATCAAACCAGTAGGAAACAAACATTATGGCTCAATCAGGGAGCTTCAAACCCAGTGGAATTGTTGTTATTTTTATAGAATTATGGTTAGTTTTTGCTTTTAGTGTGATGACAACGTTGTAGTCGTTTTAGAGATAGAATACACTGGCCATATTAGAGAAATACACTAAAATATTTGCAGATAACATGGAAAGGAAATT